CATGTGTCCTTAAAGCAGAATGACTTACAATCCTTTGAATATATACCCAGTAATGGGATTGCTGGGTCAAATGGAATTTCTATTTCTAGGTCCTTGAGGAATCACCCACTGTCTTCTGCAATGGCTGAGCTAATTTACACTGCCACCAACAGTGTAAAAGTGTTCCTATTTCTCCACATCCTCTCCAGCATCTGTTGTCTCCAGATTTTTTAATGATTGCCATTCTAACTGGCATGAGATGGTATCTCAATGTAGTTTTGATTTGCATCTCTCTAATGACCAGTGATGATGAGCATTTTTTCATATATCTTTGTTGGCCTCATGTATGTCTTCTTTTGTAAAGTGTCTGTTCATATCCTTCACCCACTTTTGAATGGGCTTTTTTTTTTTCTTGTAAATCTGTTTTCGTTCTTTGTAGATTCTGGATATCAGCCCTTTGTCAGATGGGTAGACTGTGAAAAATTGAAATTCTTTACTCACTAAGCAATATCTTCTCATTTCTGCCTTCACATTCAGCCCCTGGAAATCTAGTTTCTGTCTCTATGAATTTGTACTCTATACCTTTTATGAGTGGAATAATGCAGTATTTGTCCTTTTGTGACTAACATTTCCCTTAGCATATCTTCAAGATTAATAAATGTTATAGTGTGTATCAGAATTACCTTTCTTTTTAAGGCCAAATAATATACCATGGCATTTGTGTATACCATGTTTTGTTTATTCAGCTAACTATGAGCACTTGAGTTGCTTTCTTCCATCTTTGGTTATTGTGAATAATGCTACTATAAACATAAATGCACAAATATCTCTTTAAGGGTTTTCTTTCAGTTCTTCTGGGTATGTAGCCAAGAGTGGAATTACTGAATCATGTGGTAATTCTATTTTTAGACTTTTTTAAGGAACAATCATACCGTTTTTCCTAATGCTAACACCATTTTGCATTCCTGCCAATAGTTTGCAAAGTTTCCAGTTTCTCTATATCCTCACCAACAATATTTATTTTGTTTTTTATTTTATAAATTTTAAATTTTTTATAATAGCCATCCCAATGGGTGGGCAATAGTATCTCATTTTGATTTTAGTTAGAATTTCCCTAAAAATTAGTACTGTTGAAAATCTTTTGCTGTGGATATTGGATATTTGCATATTTGATGTTTATTTTTCAAAATTCAGCAATTGAAATTGCATCATTTTTTCTCTTTTTCCCACCTCTTCCTTTTTCCCTGAGAGAAAGCAAAATTCACCTGCTTTCAAGGTTATTCCTAATGTGTGGAATGTAGTACCCTGAACTACCAAAGAGTCTCTGTCCTTGTTATGCTGTGCCAATATGTGGCAGCTCAAGCAGTTGGCTGCCAAGATGTTGGTACAAATACACAGTTAACTACAGCCCCAAATCTACATGGCTCTACCAAGCTATCATGTACCATGAGCAGCTCCTTCAATGGATCCTTATTCTATAACTTCCTCAAACTACTGTCAGTATACAGACTTTCACATTTGCTTTCTATCTTTGTAACTAAAACTCATTATTTTGGCCTAAGGTGATCCCTTTTTAGTCAAGCCCAGAAAAGCATTTAATGAAGGATAGTGTTCCCTTAGGAATGTGAATTTTTTGTCTTCATGAGGACAATGTACAACTTAAAAAAAACTACACTAAAAAATGCACTCAAAATGTAGCATATGAGAGATTTAAGTTTGATATGAGAAATGTCTTTCATCCAGCAAATGTTAAATACTAATACAAGTTTTGGAGAATAGTGATAGACAATTTTCCTTGAAAAACAGTAAGTCTCTTTAAAATTTATTAAATGTGGAATTTCTGTGGCCCCCTTAAACAATGGTCTGTAATAATTCTGACCCATGTTTGAGAATGTGTTCCTAATGTGCAAGATAGATCCCCGCTAGCCGTTTGCTATCACAGAAAATGGTATATAATTTTGTAAAAGAAATAAATCCCACTATTTAAATGTTAATTATTTTAAATCTGGCTACAAATAATTAAACTGTATGATACAAAACAATTTATAGTTTAGAAGTATGTTGCAGAAGTATTACTTCTGTAAAAATAAGCTCAGGAATGGCATCTGGTAATACTTTTTACACTTTTGACTCCAGTTTCTCTGCTGTGAATCTATTTTGGGTGTCACATTGTTTTTGTGAGTTTACTTCATGATCTTTTATTCCCAAGATTTTATTCAAAGCATCCTCTTCCTCAGTGTTTCCTTACATAGCATTCCCATAAACTTTTTATTTCAAATTAAATAGTCATTTATCATTCAGAATATATATTTTCAATTGCATCCTGACTTTATTGGTTCAAAAAAGCATATAGCAGTATTGAAATATAATCTATCAAGTATGTTCAGCAAAGACATGTTAAATGTAGTTTTTTCCTTTGATGTACAGCAAATTACTCTTATAGTAATCTAATAGTTGGTTCTTCAAATGTTTAGCTAAGTTTCTCCATGTGCGCCAAAAGAACTTTTGGACAAAAAAAAAAAAAAGCTTTCTGTGTATTATTTTAGCTGTTGTTAACCCTATTAGGAACAACACAATTTTTCTCCTGAAATATGACTGTTTTGCTAGTAAATGAGGCCTCTAAACATTCATTATCAAGTTTAGTGAGATTTTGTACAATTTAGATTGTGCACTGCATGACTTTAAAAATGGTGAGAAAATTGTAGGTTTGTTTTCTTGTTCCAGATGCTTCTCTTTCTATCTCTCTCTCTCTCTCTCTCTCTCTCTCTCTCTCTCTGTGTGTGTGTGTGTACATAGATGTAGTCATGTATTGCATAATGACATTTTGGTCAACAATAGACCACATACACAACAGTGCTTTTTTAAGGTTATAATGGAGCTACTCTATACAGGTGTACCAGATTTCTTTCATATTGTATTTTTACTGTACCTTTTCTATATTTAGAAATAGAATACAAGGTCATTCTAGAAATGTCATAGAATTCTCGATAGAATGTTTAGATACATAAATACTTACCATTGTGTTACCACTGTTGATGCTATTCAGTAAAGTAACATGCCTAACAAGTTTGTAGCCTAGGAGTGACAGGCCTTACCATATAGCATAGGTATGTAGTAGGCTACACAATCTAGGTTTATGTAAGCATACTCTTTGATATTAGCACAACAGTAAAATCAGCTAGCAATGCATATTTCAGAACATATCCCAATCACTAAGTGACTCATGACTGTATGTATCAGTATACAAACATATACATACATACATGCATATTCAGATACGTGCTATTATTTAGCTATGTCACATGCCTATATAACCAGAGTGAGAGGTTTATTGTTAATGAAAGTAGACACAAACCCATATTACAACTAGTCTTGATAATTTTAGATGATCTAAACCATTAGGTCATCAGTGCTTTCGGCCTTCTTAGAAGAATAATGATAAGAGGTATTTTTTAAAGCATTAACTACACACTGTGGGCTTTGCTCATTTAATTTGCTCAACAAACCATTGTTGTCGGATGAGAACTTCATATTACATTCTTATGTGACAAGAGGAAGCTGGTACACAGTGAAATTAAGTAACTTGCCCAAAGTCACTTTAATATATTCTAGTGTTAGGAATGTGAGCCCAGGCAGTTTGGCTTCAGAACTGCATTCTTATCCCATGCTATCCTTTTTGGCTCTGATTTTTGTTGTTGTTGTTATTCTTTTTTTGTGTTTGCCTTAGCACCGTATTTTCAAACCACGGCTTCTTTGCATGGATTGTATAAGCCACTAGTCTGTTTTGTGAAGATTAGTTAAAACTAGATAAGAGAATTCATAACTGGAAAAAAGTAAATTGTGATAAATTGCAATAAGATAAGAGAAAACAAGAGAATAAGGTTACCACTGTCAGCCTTCTTCCAGTACTGCAGAACACTTCCCCTTTCTGTAGGAAACCTCACTTTTTCTAGCTGAGCATAGCCCTTTCCAATTCAAGAAATCAGTGTGTATGCCTGTCTACACTAATGCTAAGAATTAGTAAAACGTAGTTTTCTTCTTATTTTTAAGTTAAAAATAAATACAAGTAGAAGTTCTAATATGTTCTTTTTATACACACAATGAATTGTCTTGGAAACCTGGAGCATAAGTAGCCCATTTGGGAAACCACCACAATACTGTATGATGAAAATTTAACTGAGACTAGAGAACAGATAATCAATTGGCCCTGGGCTGAATTTTTAGGGAAAAGACAAAATAAAAAAGATTAAAAGAGGTCATCTAAGATTAACACTTTAAAATCTCCAGTTGCCATAGAAACAGAAAATACAGGCAAGCAGTTTAGCTACCCAAGACTTTTGAAGGATCAAGTGTCACTAAATGTCAAAAACTATTATCAGGCTTAACTGGAATTGGCTTTTGAACCTCAGCCTGTGGTTATACAACACTCATCCTTCAAACACCCTTTCCACAAGTGGTGGCTGACATTTGAACCTGTAAGAAATCCAGCATCCTCTGTCCTGGAAAAACTTAAAGGCTCAGTAACTTTTTGAAGGAGTCATTCTTTGCTGGTAGTGAAAGACTTGTGCATAAAATGACATAAGGCCAAACTGTTTACTTAAAAGCTCACTGTAGTTAACCTCTACATTTTTCCACTAGTGAACCCTATCTGCTTTTTGGATATGGAAATAGCAGATAATTTTATTGACCCAAACATTCACTCTCATCTTAGATTAACAGCTGAGAGAGCTGAGGAGTGTTCAGAGACTTACAGTGTCTCAGTGTAATGAATGTCTTATGTTACTGGTTCCGAGCCAATATACCCACTACCTTGTAATTTTTTTCTCTGGTTACTTTGCTTCAGGCCCTTTGCATGCTACTAACTACTACTAGATTTCACTGTCTGCTGCAATGTGAGGTTTCAAAAATTCCTGGAGGCCACTCTGGCTTACTTTTTCAAGTAAATCTCTCTTTTCATAATTTATAACTGTCTGTAGAACTTCTGGTCTTACTGATGACCCACTGCTTTGCTCTCTTACCAGGGAATCAGGTGCTAACAACCATCTAGAGACTAGCTGGAGAAAAGTTCAATGTTTGGACACCCTCTTAGGGTAGCCCTTGGTAAGTCCAGTTGACTTTTCCATTCCATTCCATTGCAACTTTCATTACTAATTAACTCCATTTGGAATTGTGAAACCACTTTTTCTTATTCTTCTGTTTCTTCTTCCCTGTTATTCCTGGACATCTGCTGCATAATCAGCCGACAGAACTGAGCTTTGTGAGGTTTGTTTTTACTTTGTTTTGTTTTTTTCATAGTCAAGTGGTAATAATACTGGACTATTAGTAGTGGGAGAGTCATGGAAATGTAATAGTGATTGAGAGAAAGCCTAAAATCATAAGGTCATAAGATCAATTTCAATTATTTTCATGCAAATCACCAGCTTTGATCCTCTGTAAGAATAGTCCATAAATTCTCGGGCAAATGAATGATACACTATATTTTAAAGAGAGTTTGGTTTATACACCTATTTTATGGATCACATCTAATATTTAACCTAATGAGAGCCTGAATATTGTACATTACTCATGTCAACAAATAACTGCAGAGTCTCCAGTGAGTGTCTTAGTTGGATAAAGACTCAAGTGTCTGGAGTATAACCAACACCATGCTAAAAGAAGCAAGGTGTTTGCTATTGAAAGATAATACTGTGCTTTGAATTGTTAAAACACATCATAACCAGTGAATTCTAAGCATTTCTAATGTTGGGACCAATATAAAATAATAATAACGGCACATTGACTATTACTAATCACATAAAATCATCATTAAATAATTTGAATGCATTCTTATTTAACTCTTCTTACCATCTTAGGAAGTTGATGACATTATGTCCCCATTTTAAAGATGAGAAGAGGAATTAGATCATTTACTGCAAGGTAGTGCAGCTGGAAACCTTCAGAGCGGGAGTTTTAAACTAAGGCCACTGGCTCCAAAGCCCCAGCTCTTTGCTACTCTGCTCTACTGCCTCATTCTCAACTGGTTTCTGACTGGAAACCCAAAAGGTATATTTGCCCTCTACTAATGGAAAAACTGAGCTTAAAACGGGCAAATACTACTTTGTTCCAAATCACTACAATTTGTGGAAAACCTAGGTTAATGTGCAATTAGCAAAAGCCAATGTCTAGAGGACAAGAATTTTGTGTATGGTTCTTACCATCTAAAAATGGTAACTAATATCTTTTTAGGACTAATCATGTGTCAGGCACTATGTATTAAGTGCTTTCACCTCAAACTTTTAATATTCACAACAACCTAATGAAGTAGGTCCTATTAGTAAACTCATTCTACAGACAAGAAAACTGAGGCACAGGAAGAGGGAATAACTTGCCCAAGATCACACTGCTAGCAAGTAAGGGGCTTTGTTTCAGAGTCTGTGCTCCACCGTACCCGACTATCTCACCTTTCTGCTTGTACCTTAGCCACTGAGTACCAAACCTCCTGGTGAAACTTTGGGCTTCAAAGACCCTTATCTTCTGAATGATACACACCAAATAAATAATGCATGAGATCAGCTAATAAGAGATCATGGAAATATTGAGTAGTAGCAGACAGAATTGAAGACAAAATTAGTAATTTTATCATGAGAATATGACCTAATCTGGAGCTACATATGGTTCAGATTGAATCCAAATTCATGGAAATTCAACAAATTTTTCTTTTCTTCTTCCTTTTTTTTTTTTTTTTTGCTTTCATTGTGCAGTCTATGTTGGCAAGACAAATATTACTCACTATGTGTGTATCTGTTTGATACCATTCCCTCTCTTTTGTGCCAGATTCATAATAGAATACTGTAGGTACTCAGGCAATTTTTGAAAAAAATTTGAGAAGAATGCTGAAGAGAGCAGGGGAAAGACCACCATATGTTCATTCTGATAAACAGGGAAGAGACCACCATATGTTTATTCTGATGCAAAAAAAAATGGCTATTTTAACAACATTGGATCATTTAAACTGGAAACACTTGGTGGTTGAGACTATGCAATAGACTTGGCTAATATAACAATAACAAGCCAGGTCACAACAGATCCATGCTTTCCAACCTTTTGGGATGACTCATTTTGTCCATATGGTTATCTAACTGATCTAGCACCATTTAATGAAATGGCTACCTTTCCCTCTCTGCACTGCAGTGCTGCCTTTGTCATACATCAGGGAGTGTACATAAGTTGGTCTATATCAATGCTATTCTGTATCATTAGTCATTTTGCCTACTTTTGTGCCAATATGACATTATCTTAATTACTATGGGTTTATGATAGGCCTTTCGGGTCGTCATTTTCTTTGCTTTTATAGCTTTGTTCAAATGGCCAAGATCTCTGTTTCAACACTAAATATAAATAGTAATAGTCTTTGCCTCATTTTTTCTTTTGGGGAAAATTTTTCATATTTTACCATTAAATATGAGGAGTTTTCTTTTTGTAGATGTGCTTATCAGTTTAGACAAGCTTTCTGCTATTCATAAGTTTTTAAAACCATAAACAGGTATTAAATTTTGTCACATACATTTTTCTACATTCATTGAGATGATTGCATGATTTTCTAATGTCGTAAATTACATTGTTTTTGTAAGTAAATTTCTTTAAGTTTTGAATATTACATTTACTGTTAAGTAAATTACATAAAGTTTTGAATATTAGTGCTCTCTTGGCTATGTGAGATAAACCTTGTTTAAATGGTGTATTACTCATTTTACATATTACTGAATTCACTTTTCCAATTTTTTTTTAAATTTGCCTTTAAGTTTATGAGTGAGATTAGGATGTAGTATTTCTTTTTAAAATTTCTTGCCAGGGTATAGGAATAAGTTTTTCTCCCATAATCGCAGAAAGGAGTTAGAAAATATTTCCTTTATTCCCCTTAGCTTCAAAAAAAGTTTATATAAGATTGGTCTATTTTATTCATAAATGTTTGTATGAATTCACTAGTGAACCACTCCAGATCTGGGTCATTCTCATAGGATGGTCTTATAATTACATATTTAATTCAGATGTGTTTATTTCTTTGTCAGGTTTTATAGATAGATTTTAAAAACTTTTCAAATTTTACTTTATTGGTAATTTCACTGGTGTAAAATCATTCACAATTATCTTATTATTTTTAAGAGATCTGTTGCATCTGTAGTAATGTCCCTTTTCACATTCCTGATATTGGTAGCTCACGTTTTGTATTTTCTTTGTGATCTCTACTCTTAACCTAAGTTTCCCTGTGTGTGTGTGTGTGTGTGTGTGTGTGTGTGTGTGTGTGAGAGAGAGAGAGAGAGATAGAAAGAGAGAGAGAAAGGTGGGGAGTGGAGGGGGGAGAGGGAGAGAGAGACAAAGAAGACAGAGATGGAAAGAGGGAGAGTAAAAGAATGCTATCCTGCTCAGGTTTACTGAATTTATAAGTCTGTCATTTATTCCTTTCCATCAGTTCAAAAAATATTTGCATTATTTCTTTGAATACTTCCTTGGTCCATTTCTATCCATTCCTGGAAATTTAAATACAATATGTTACAACTGAATATCTCCCATATGAATGTTCTTGTCTTTGTTCTTGTTGTTTCTATGCTTTCCCCTCCATTCTTCAGCTTGAATTTTTTTCTATTGGTTTGTTTTTGAGTTCACTGATCTTTTTTGTTTTGTATTGCCTAGCTTGTTCTAATGGATTCCTTGTTTCATATAATTGTATATTTCATTTCTAGTAAGTATATTTGATTTTTTATAGCTTCAAGTTGTTTATTACATTATGCATCTTTTCATTCATTTCTTTACTTTAACCATCTTTTCCTCTGTTTTACCATAGTTATAATTATTTTAACATTTTTATTTACAAATTTCAATATCTGGATAAACTGAGGTTCTACTTCTCTTGTTTAATTTTTTCTTTTGACTATGAGATAAATTATCTTGTTTCTTTGTCTTTTAAATTTAAATTTTATGCTATATTTAAAAAACAACTATAAATAGTGACTAGAATATCATTTTTTTCCAAAAGGGAATTGTTCTTTCTTTTGTTAGGAAGATAATATGAGGGGAAGGTTATTTTATTTTATTTTATTTTATTTATTTTATTTTCATTGAGACAGGGTCTCACTCTGTCATGCAGGCTGAAGTGCAGTGGTGTGATTTTGGCTTACTGCAACCTCCACCTCCTGGACCCAAGCAATCCTTCCATCTTGGCTTCCTGAGTAGCCAGGACTACAGGCATGCACTACCATGCCTGGCTAATTTTTTGTACTTTTAGTGGAGACAGGGTCTTACCATGTTGACCAAACTGGTGTCAATCTCCTGAGCTCAAGCAATCCACCTGCTTCAGCCTCTCAAAGTGCTTGGATTATAGGCATAATCCACAGTACTTGTCCGGGTCATTTAAATCTGTTCAGTAATTGAGCTTGTTCCGAGCTGGATTGCAGTTTTAACTAAATTGAGCCCACCTCTGCTACATCACTGATCTTCTGATTGTGATCTTGGTAGATATGTGTCTCCTCAGACCTTAAACCCTTCAATTCAATTTTTCTGAGTTTGAGCTTAAGTTTAGTCTCCAGCCCCATGGAGCTTCAATATCTGACAAATGTCTTGAGGAAGAAAAGAGCCATGGTTTAAAACAGGGTATTTTATCCTAAGTACCAAGAAATTGAGCAAAATTTTACCCTCCCTTTCAGCCCCATCCTTTTTGACTGTGGCTTTGCCAGGGTTTTGATGAAAAGTCTAATGAGTCTGTACTTCTTCAGTAATAAAATGTGTATCTTTTGGATCCTCTAAGCCCGTTAACCTTCCACCCAAACAGGTTCAAAATCTTGCAAATATTTTATATTTATAAAAGGATTTTGTCACTTAAGCACCCTGAACAGATAAACACTCCACTTCCTACATTGCCTTAGCTCTCAGCAAATGTCCTTTGGGATCATGTGTCTGGGCTCCTTCAGATCTCCATCTACCATTCCAGCATATGATGTTTTCAGAAGCACTATTAGTCTTGGTTTTCTGCAGTGGAATTCCTCCACCTGTGCCAAGCCTGATCCTCAACCTTTGCCCAAACTTGCAAATACCCTCACAGAAGAAACAACTATTGATTGCCAGCCCTCTTAGGAAGGGCTCTTCTCTGCTTGGAATTTTACTTCATTGAGTTTTCATTGCTTCCATACTTTTCTGATGACTTTAACAATATAATTTTCTAATGTATCCATCTCTCTCCCTAGTTGTTTTAGTAGGAGCAAAGATTTGTCAAACATACCATATCCTACTTGAAAGGCAAACTTTGTGAAAATTATTTAGAACAGTTTTATTTCTGTTTCTAATTATTAATAATGCACATACATTTTTAGGCTTGTTGTGCTACTGAG